CGAGGACGACAGTTGCGGCGCAGTGGGGACGATCGACGCACTGCCAGAGTGCTGCCAACTAGCCACAAAGCCATCTGGCATCAAAGGAAGTGATCATTCATGCATCGAACTCACGTAAGACGAGCTTTGACTGAGCTTTTAGTTCTTTTCCGCAAATGTCAATATCAATATCAAGATCAATACCACAAACCGCCATACCTATCACTTCGCCGCAAAAGCTTTTCAGTATCAGCCAGCTTACATTTGTGCCCTCTGTCCTATACCCCATACAGCCTGTTTTTATAAAACTCCCACACCGACCAGGCGCAATTATCTAGCTATTCCCCCTGAGGTCATTTGTTGTCCATTGGCCGATCGCTCTTGCGCTCGGTCCCTCCGACACACCCCGATATCCAGTCAGCATCCCTCCCACAGCTCACTGCCTCGCCGATATCAGCAGACGACGCCAGTCAACCGCAAACGCGATGGGCACGTCCGCCGGCGGCGGAGCGCGACCAGCTAACGTGCGACGCGCGCCGCACGCGCACAACGTCGACACCGACAGGGGAGACACGACGGTCGACGAGGAGTGAAGGACAGCGGCGATAGTTGCACCGCTGCCAGAGGAGCTGAGGTGAAGTACGGATATCGCACGCAAAATGCACTAGTATGTACTAGTATGCAAAATGTTCGGATATCGCACGCAAAATGTACTAGTTATGAACTGTGTGTGGACCGTGGAGCTCTTTCCAGCTAGGGGTATTGGTGAAGCATACACAGTGCAGTTCTACAGCTCTTTGCACTCATCTTATTCGTAGAAATATAAAAGTGCCATTACTTGTCGCGCACCTAAATTGAGCGACTCAGGTGCACCCATTAGACATAAAAGTACACTGCCAGCCCTTTATATAACGAATACGCTCACACGAATGCCGACGGCAGAGCTAAATTCGAGACAAACATGCACGTTGAACCAGTACAATCGGCGGCGACGGCGGGTCAGACTGCGCCATCCCCCTCTCAGGTCGTGAGGTCGTGACCCCCGGCTCGACGGGCGCCCCACGCCGTTCAGCACGGCCGATATGGGCGTGCACCACGCCACGCCGGTCGTGCGCCGACCCACGTGGTCGTGTGAAAATGACTGCACGATCATACTACACAGCGTGGTGTGAACAGAGTGTCGGAGAGCCGGAATACTTAATTCCTAACCTACGCTGATACTGAATACACTGCACCCATTTTCGACTGACTGAATATCTGCGCTGCTCAGCTAACACGAGGCAATATACACAATAAATACTTCGAGTATTGTGTTAAAAAGCAAGAATTTGATACGTCCATGCCGTTTTCTCTAATGCTTCACTCATGTCATTTTCTCTAATGCTTCACTCAAGGCAGTTACTATGGACGTCAAACCCCGTGAGACCCCACTTTTTTGTGATAATTTTTAAATGCGTCAACTCTCGTTGACAATATTCTGGCAATGTGTGTTTCAGAACCTGCCGAAACTTTTATTACTAAGGTATTTTGACGCCAAACGATTATGAAAGGTACTTCTCATTCACTCGTAATGCTAAGGTCAATTCAGGCCCGGGCAGAGGCTTGCGCTCGGCCACACTCGAGTCCCGCCACCACCGCCATCTGCTCTTAATGTCATCTACCGGCGCCCGCTATCGCTACCAGCTACCGCCCACCATCAAGCCTGAACGGAGCGAGAGTCGCGAGTGACCGGTCGCCGGGCAAGGAGCGCCGGAGGGGTAGGGCGGAGCTTAGCGCTGACGTCATTACGTGGCTCCGCCCCATGAGCGCGTAGCCTCTACCCAAACAGCAGATTCGTTCCGTAAAATTTAACACCAGTATAACGCCTTTTGGGGCGACTAACGGAGCGAGCGAGAGGGTGAGCCTTGCACGTGCGAAATTTCGAGGGGGTACCTCCAACTGACTTGTGCACGGCACCCTACTAACCGGTCTCTAGCAATGTGCCAAATTTGAGCACAATCGGCCCAGCCGTTCTCGAGATCTGGAAGCGACACCCTGCACGTGCGCACGTGCAAAATGGGTCCCAACTGACTTTTGCACGGCACCCTACTAACCGGTCCCTAACCATGTGCCAAATTTGAGCGCCATCGGTCCAGCCGTTCTCGAGATCTGGAATCGACCCCTGCACGTGCGCACGTGCAGCAGCACCCCCACTCTGGCACATGGATATGCATTGCCTAGTGGGTGCCTACCTACATGCCAACTTTCAGCACAATCGGCCAAGTAGTTACCGAGATATTGCAACAATTACAAAAGTGACACCTCTTCGTTTTGCACGTGGCACGTGCATAAGGGGTCACCCACATGCATCGGGAATAGTCCAATACTTGGTAGAAGGAATGAAGCTACCCTACAAAAATTACCGCATGTAAATCGGTCAAGTGGTTGCTGAGATATAAGCCTCGCAAAAGCGTGACCACGGCCGGCCGCTCATACTCAGAAATTTCCGTTATTCTACGTAAGACTCCGCTCGCTTCGCTCGCTCCGTAATTACGAGTGAATGAGAAGTACCTTTCATAATCGTTTGGCGTCAAAATACCTTAGTAATAAAAGTTTCGGCAGGTTCTGAAACACACATTGCCAGAATATTGTCAACGAAAGTTGACGCATTTAAAAATTATCGCAAAAAAGTGGGGTCTCAAGGGGTTTGACGTCCATAGTAGCTTGCAGTTAGCTTTATGAATCATTTTCGTTCTCAATATCACTAAGCTCGTTTCTGCAGCTGGGCCAGCGCTGGAGAGAATAGGACAGTCTCAGAGAACTGGATAAAACGATTCAGCGGAAGAATCACAGCCCATTCCATCGCTAAGTGATTGAGCGCCTGCTGGATTGTTAGTTGGAATTGCCAATAAGCTGAGACAACCAAGCTAGTCGTGTTTCGAAATGGAAATATCAAGACCCGCGAACTGTACCATAACTAGATATTGATTTGCCACAACACAACACAATTTACGCCAGGGTGGCTCAATGTAAGAAACAAAAACAAACCGTCTCAGTGTCGACTGTCGATGAAAACAAATAAAAAGGTTTCAGCTCTTGTCACGTCTCTCTGCTTTGTGAAGAAAGCAGACAGGATTCCGTACAATTCAGTTTGGATCTTCCCTTCCACGTTCGCCCGTGCAGGACCCGCTATCGTGCTCGAACATTCATCGAGCAAATAATGTCTTATTTATGTTTTACCTAATTAGCTGCATTTGCAAACATGTCATAAATGATTCAAATTTTGGTGATTAGTAGGTAGGTATGTAATCTGCACTAATTTCGCAAACTGCATAACGTCGTTACCACTATCAGAATTATCCTAACGTTTGCATTTTCCGTTTTGAGTAAATAGGTGTATACATAGATAACATGTTATCTATGTATACACATATCACATATGAACATGTTATCTATAGTGGTTCATGATATCTATGGTGTATGCTATCTTTTGCCGAAATCCACACATTAGACGAACATGTTGCGAGAGGTTCAGGCATGCAAAATCCGTCACCTGCAGTTTTGTTCCATTGGCAACAGACCACAGGTACTCCTGGCGCCACGCGTCGTGTTCTTTATTCTGATTGCACTACACAGGAACCAATCCGCTAATTGCTAATGTGCACACCGCACGCCGGATACGTCAGGCATTAAAAGCCAGACAAGTTTTCAGTGTTCCTATTACAAGACCCCGAGAGTCACTGACCAATGTATGCAGATCAAATGGTGCATTTAGGCACTTGATGGATTCCATGAATATGTATGTATGTTTGATCATGTATGTATGTACGAAGGAATGTGAAATCAACCGAATATATCCCGCCAAATTCATTTCTATTGATAAGGTATTTGTAGAATTATAGTGAGGTACATACATCCAGCCCGTATTTGGTTTAGTCACAGTCGTCGGCAAATCCACCTTGTATTGGCCAGATTTCCTATAATTTCTCGATTGTTTGCCATCATCCTGATATCTACCGGTTGATTAGTGACCATGATAAGTGAGTTGAAAATGAATACGCAGCCTTTCCACAAACACGCTTCAGCGTTGGACCTCTACAGCTAACTATGCTGGCTGAGCATCTACATCTGCTACCAATGCCGAATAATTCAACAATTATGCATATAGAGGGCCTTATATAACGCACCACGTTCCGTTGAGCTTCAGCTCACGGTATAAATGGTTCTATGAGCAAAGTGTTTATTTACGTTTCTAATTTTCCGTTTACACCATTTTCCGTCCCTTTGTGGAGACTGTTGGGCGTTGGCAGTCTCCACAAAGTCGGTAGAGAAGTCCAAAGAGTCGGTAGAGAGTCGGTAGTTTCTTTGCTGACAGGTGCGTTCCTTCACAGCTGTCAAGTGTCAATATATTCGACAGTTATATAAGTGGGTAACACTTCCCCTACGTGTGTATCTAGTGATGATTAGTCAACATCGTAATCATTTGTTGCGTTGCATTGCTTCAGCGAAAATAATAGTACGTCAACTTCCCTGATTGAACAGAAGGATAGACGGTATTTGTAATGACCGTCTGGCCTCCAGGAAAAAAGCACGGAAAGTCACCCTTTGCAACCCTGCGTCTATGATCTCCCAGTGTATTACGCTAGCCCGAGTAGACCTTCACCATCAGTTTATACTTGCCGTAATACCTAACTATTTGCTCACATAAGAGGAACGGCACCGCTTTTCGACGAAAGTTAGGTCATAAACCGTAAATACATGAGTGGCTTTCTGATAAATTTGAAAGTGAATTCAATTAATAAAACTACGGGCTTACGATGAATGAGCTAGAGAGGGAAGCGCCCACCAACTGTCGTTTCACAATCATCACAACTAGATGCCTCTCACACCCGTACGATAAAATATCCGCACTCGGCATATCTTACCAGTAACGCTGCATGTTTATAAGCCATAGGATGGTGCAAATCTGATATAATAAGAACATCTAATTGCCATCTCACCTGGGATATCAACATTGCACTCACCCCAGTCGACCCACCCACCTCCAGAGACGATCCGCAGTCGGTTCTCGCCATGGATCGGCTCCGAGCGGTTCACGTCACAAAAGTGACACGGCGGGTCCTGGTTGGGGTAGATGAGATCGGAGACGTGCTGCACGGATAGGTGCACGTCCGGCTGGCTGCTGCGGCCGCCGCCGGGGCCGGCCGGGCCGCCGGCCCCACAGCACACGCACGGCGACGGGGCGGCCGTGGTGTTCGCGCGGTGCCGCCAAGATCGGCCCGGCGGCACCTCGGGACTTGGTGAGACCCGCGTGGCTCCGCGCGACGAGCAGCTCAGGGCGCAGACACCACCCCGCTCACGATCAACACACGGACGATGGACGTCTCACTTTATTCCGCGCGCGCTGGGACCACCCTCACCAGCCGACCGACCGCGGTGAACTGGGATGCAGCGCCCGACCCCCTGCAGTGTCACCCACCGACCGCCAGAGGCGCTAGCGTCTGGTGATTGGGGAAACTAAACCGCCAGGTGGCAGTGGTACTTGGTGTCATGCGCACAGGTGGTGCTACTCTAGCAAGCTGCCTCCGTTCCTGTAGCACCGAGGACCTGGCAGTGATCGCAGATCAACCGGGTTACGGACAAAAGTACGTATCGCTAAAGTACGTAGGACAAAAGTACGTAAGCAAAAGTACGTAGGATTAAAGTACGTATCGCAGAAGTACGTACAGTATAAAGTACGTATGGACAAAAGTACGTCAGGGACAAAAGTACGTATCGCAGAAGTACGTACAATATAAAGTACGTATGGACAAAAGTACGTCAAGGACAAAAGTACGTATCGCAGAAGTACCTACAGTATAAAGTACGTATGGACAAAAGTACGTCAGGGACAAAAGTACGTATCGCAGAAGTACGTACTGTATAAAGTACGTATGGACAAAAGTACGTCAGGGACAAAAGTACGTATCGCAGAAGTACGTAGGGTATAAAGTACGTATGGACAAAAGTACGTCACGGACAAAAGTACGTATAGCTAATGTACGTAGGGTAAAAAGTACGTATGGACAAAAGTACGTCACGGACAAAAGTACGTATCGCAGAAGTACGTAGGGTATAAAGTACGTATGGACAAAAGTACGTCACGTACAAAAGCCTACGTATAGCAAATGTACGTAGGGTATACCTAAAGTAGGGTAGCCTTGGGCAAGACGCCCCAGATAATTTATTTTGCTACATAGGTACCTACTTTTATCTCACATCACCTGGAAGGCCAAATTTGTGCTCAATGTGTTCTTTGGACATTTTACTTTAAACTCCATCCCTCAAATCCATTCACTTATGATCGGACTCCCAGCTAGGAAGTGCTTTGTGAAGCAACTGCAAATGGGGCATTTTGCCCCAACCGTTTGGTATCGCTTTTGTTTGCGTAGCTCTCTTATTTACGGAGTTAGACAGGGGGCGGGGCGAAAAACGCCCCTCCCCGGGCTGCGGTGGTTGGAATTACCAGAAGAGAGGATTTTTTCCCAGAACCCTGCCAGTTCCGAGAAACATCGGTGAGGCGTTTTACCTCGGCGGGGCGACTTGCCCCGGTCTACCCTACGTGTGGACAAAAGTACGTCACGGACAAAAGTACGTATAGCAAATGTACGTACTACGTAGGGTATTAAGTACGTACCCCACCCTTGGGTTAAGTTGATCAATGTGTAATAACTACCTTTCTTATTCTTTATTTAATGAGCATTTGTTACAAGGCATAGCAAAATTTCTCGATGAGTAAATGGGCGAAATGGACAAAGCTATATTATTTGGTATATGAATTTATCATGAGTTCCCTTATAGTATGGCAACAGAGCAGCAAGAAAAGTGGCTCAACTTACACTACTATACCCTACTTCTAGCATACGTACTTTATACACTACCTACGTACTTTGGCATACGAACCGTACGTACTTTTGGCAACGTACTTTTTACACTACGTACTTTTGCATACGAACTTTTGCGTACGAATATTTGCGTACGTACTTTTGGTATACGTACTTTATACACTACGTACTTTTGCATACGTACTTTTGCGTACGAACATTTGCGTACGTACTTTTGGCATACGTACTTTATACACTACGTACTTTTGCATACGAACTTTTGCGTACGAACATTTTCGTACGTACTTTTGTCATACGTACATTTTACACTACGTACTTTTGCATACGTACTTTTGCGTACGAACATTTGCGTACGTACTTTTGACATACGTACTTTATGCACTACGTACTTTTTCATACGTACTTTTGCGTACGAACATTTGCGTACGTACTTTTGTCATACGTACATTTTACACTACGTACTTTTGCATACGTACTTTTGCGTACGAACATTTGCGTACGTACTTTTGGCATACGAACTTTATCGCCTACGTATATTTGCGTACGAACATTTGCATACGTACTTTTGTCCTACGTACTTTAGCGATACGTACTTTAGTCCTAAAATCAGATCGACCAACAATCGAGAAGAATGGTCATTCCTCTCATTGAGTGACTGCCATAAACCCCCCTGTTCTGATCAAAAAGACTTGACTGCTGTACCAAAGTGCAGGTTTATCATGCACCAAACTAATTAAATAAAGACAAAGGGGCAAAAACCTTTAGAGCAGCGAGGAGCCACTCTAGCCCTTCATTGGCTGCACTACGGACTAAGCCACTAACCCTTCAAGTCCTGCTACCTCAATCACAATAGTATTGATAAGCTAAACCCTTATATCTCTTAAGTATGTATCTTACTGTGTCTTGAAATTTGTGAGCGACTCGGCCGAAATGATCTGTGGCGGTAACTTATTCTAATGTTCCATAACTCTTCTTTGTACCGTACTAAATTAATTAACCTTGCATAATAAATACAGGTAAAGACTGAAGCTAGGTCACTGGTGTGGGGTATAAATAAAGTGGTCCATCTCCCGTTTAAATTCCACGCACGACTGATGCATCAAAGCATATCATGCATATTTCGACATCATCTGCATAAAATGACCCTGTAATCAAAATCGTGCCGACCTCGTAAAGAGTATGGAGGATGCAATTTTATTTTCACGAATGCGTATGAGTGGCCCGAGAGTGCCTGAGACGAGGTCATTTTCTTTTATTGTTCGAGAGCAATTACGAATATTAGACCACTAATAGTGCGATGACTTTCTGAGAGGCCCCGGGGACGCCCTATGCATATTAAATGAGCCTTTGCTCATTAAATAGCTCAACAATCGAATTTAGTTTCATAGAATTTGTATTATATTATTTGCATCAATATTGTTGAGGTAGGTACGCACCTATTAGGCATCTGCAATCTACAAAGTTTGATTTGTGGCCGATGGACTCCTTTTTTTGAAGTGCCTAATGTTAAAACTTAAAAGTAACTTTTTTAAAGTTAAACCACCGCCCTGACAACAATAGTTATGCACCTATTTAATTTAGCTAACCATTGCATTACGAGTAAATTAACCCACGCCCGTAACGATAAGTTTCATGTTTGATGACCATGTCCTTGAACTCAGAACTTCATCAATTTATTTACAAATATATTAAAATAAAATTAATGGATTGATTGATGCTTGTAGTTAATTGAAAGTAACTAGGTATATGTTATAGGCATAGGCCTCAGTTACATATGTACCTACATTGCCGGCCATAACTTTCCAACCTGTCTGCACATTTTATGTGACTGTGTTGGTTCACCGCTCACCGGAGCATTAAACACCGGCCAAACGGAGCCGTCCTATTATGGAAAGTTCTGGCTAGTCTGGGATTAAATCCATCACATTTGCATAATCAGCACGACACTCCAAACAACTGCACTGTCCTGCCGACAGCCGAGAGCATATGGGCTCATCTGACAAAGGCCACTCATTCTGCCACTCCCTGCACAGAACAATTATCCCATCTCGCCACAGAACAGCTCTCCCCTTCCTCCACAGTCTGACTCTCTCCTCCCACCACAGTCTGACTCTTTCCTCCCTCCACAGTCTGACTCTCCTCGCCCTCGACAGACCGACTCTCCCTCCCTCCCTCGACAGACCGACCCTCCCTCCCTCCCTCCACAGACTGACTCTCCCCTCCCTCCACAGACTGACTCTCCCCTCCCTCCACAGTCTGACTCTCTCCTCCCACCACAGTCTGACTCTCTCCTCCCACCACAGTCTGACTCTTCCCTCCCTCCACAGAACAATTATCAGCTCCCACCACAGTATGACTCCTCCCTTCCTCCACAGAACAATTATCCCCTCCCACCACAGTCTGACTCTCTCCTCCCTCCACAGTCTGACTCTCTCCTCCCACCACAGTCTGACTCTCTCCTCCCACCACAGACTGACTCTCCCCTCCCTCCACAGAACAATTATCCCCTCCCACCACAGTATGACTCCTCCCTTCCTCCACAGAACAACTCTCCCCTCCCTCCACACTCTGACTCTCCCCTCCCACCACAGACTGACTCTTTCCTCCCACCACAGTCTGACTCTCTCCTCCCACCACAGACTGACTCTCCCCTCCCACCACAGTCTGACTCTTCCCTTCCTCCACAGGGCGACTCTTCTCTCCCAATATGCACCCAGACAGACTCTCTCCTTGACCGAACGTGCGTAATGCGCTTCCGCCTGATTTTTTCTTCTATCTAACCGTTATGATTGTCGTTACTCTTCATAGTTTGTATGCGGTGCATGGTGCACAAATTATTTCACAACTCACATATGTAGGTGCAGAATGTGGCTGATAGTTAATGTGGTCGTTAAAGCGTCAAGTGTGGATCTGCAAGTCGTATGATGCTTAAGTAGGCCAGGCGCTTACATAAAACTGAACTTCCTTGGTTTTGGTTGGTTATGGTTTTGCCCGACGCAAAAGCACTAAAGAGATAAAACATAATTAAACCATTGGCTTTCTGGACTGCTGTGGAATCTAGACGTGACTTTTTCAGTCTTTTGAAAAGACATAATAAGCTAGCTAAGCTCGTAAAACGAGACCCGCGGATGATGACGAATACAGAGAGTCATTCAATAAGAAAAGCTTATGAAGTAATTAACCAGAGCGCTAGCAGGTTAAGACAGTATGTAAATACTAGTTACACCGTCTTGCACTACCGTCCAGCATTTAGACTATAGGCCTATAATGTATAGGTATAAGTTCCTATTTATTGTTTCAGTCCATAAACATAGGAATACAAAACCATAGTAATCGACACGATGGAACAGCTAGCAACATTTTCTAGCCTGACCGTTTACCACCCCTTTTGACGCCGTCAGAAGCTGAGCTGATGGTCAATCGACTGCCTGCACCCACCTCTCTTCTCCCTCCCCCTCCCCCGTCAACCCACGCCCCCCTCACCCCCCACCCCACCCACACTCCCTCATCGTCGACCCGTGGCGGTGGATTATTGGGCTCCGCCCGAGGCGGTCAGGTGTTTCGATTGCCAGAGAAGGTCGAGCGACATAGATTGTCGGGCGTGGGAGGCGGCTGCAGACACGCCTTATTGCTGCGGACTCGCCCAATCCCCCGCACACGTGCAAGACTCCGCGTTGCAGCCAGGCGGATGTGGTTTGATTATAAACAGGGCTCG